AAGAGCGCGCTCCGCCCATTGTGGGCGGCCTCCGCCCACGTCATGTATGCTGGGAACACCTTAGACATTGCTCCCCTACACCAATTTGTTTTCTGCTCTGTAGGCTTTCTCCCAACCGAGTTATGAATTTTTCATAAAGCACTGCTTTTTTGGAGAACGCCCCGCCCACCGGGGGTGGGTCTCCCTAATTCGATGTGACTTACCAATGCACACCTTTACCCACTTTTTGGCCCAGTTTCGAGGTCGTTTTGTAAGAGAATTGAAATCTGGTCGTCAGTACACTTCATTTCGACGCACGCCACGCCCACTGTGGGCGGGGCTCCGCTTAGCTGATGTGTGTTTTGTACTTCGAGACCTTGCCCACCCATCCCACACTTGACCCGGTCCCTCCAGGCGGATCCCGAGGAGCTAGGGAATTTCGTGACAGACATACAGAACGACAGACGACAGACGAAGCGCTTTATAGTAAGTAGGATGTTGCAGAAATAAATATTAGATGGATGGAACAAAAAACGAACTTCAGGAAAGTCATGCCACACATTTCACAAAGTAAAATCAGACTGAGATTGAGATCTGCCACCTATTGCGCTTACAAGAGATTTCAGGATGAAGAGGGATGGAGACACGCAAATGAGACGTGTCAAAATGTTTCCGCAACTTTTCGGGGTGATTTAGAACTTGTTGCAGCGCGACGTGTCGCTCTGAGAGCTTCCTGTTACGTTGACTAGCGCTAGATGTAACGTGCCAGAGCCCCTAGTGAGTTCAATTTGAGGACTGACTCAAAGTGAAGTAGTTATTTCACTAGTTTTGAGAACTGCATGAAATCTTGGTTTCAATAGGAAGAAGACATTGTACCCGATCAAATAGTGCACAAAAAATGAGATAGAAATATGGCGAAGTGGATATGATCGCGCGCAAACGCTGATCTCGTAATTTTGGCCGACCCTGTAGATCGCCAGCTCTGATTTTTTTTCCCTGTAAATTTAGGGGTAAGAATTTCAAGCTTCTTTACTGAATTTTAGAAGACCGATTCCTCGGAAGTCTTCAATCTTCTCACCACTTCGGCTCAGTTAAAGGCCATAAGTGTTTTACGTGGAGCCTCGGACTGCTTTTGGACACGAGCAGCTTGTGTGTAGGCGCTCACAATCAGATCCACGTGCGGATTTCTTGTGAAAGCTTCACGCGTCTAAATGCTACCCACCCACTCTAAATGGAACAAAATGTCTCTGAAAGTGCACGAACATTTTTGCGTTGTTAGGAAAGAGATGGGACCAATTCGTTATGGGCATGAGCCACGATTACGCACGCATGCAACTAGCAGCACATCGCAAAAATCTCCTACATACCTATAGGCGATGGTACGGTAACTTGACCACCGATGAAAAAAATGTGCAGGCGGTAGAGGGTGCAAGGATGGAGAAAAAACTAAAAGAAACAGCCTGTAACCTCCAAAGTGGAACATCTGTTTTCCCTGTTGATTTCCGCTTGCCGTGGTTCTAATCTGGGCAAGCCAATGGGTGGGCAGAAGAAGGACGAGGAGCTATTTGGGTAAGACCTAGGTCGCTACAAGCGCTTCTCACAAGATAGCACCACGTTGGGGCCTTGGGTGCGGAACAGAGTAGAGCCCTTTTGCACAATTTATCGTGTCATCTGCCTTCAGGCTTCCTAGCCCGACTTTTAGCTATTCCAAACTTTTTGTAGCCTATGTGTAATACGAACACCATTTTTGGTTATGTACAGTCGAGAAGCACTACATCATTTAGAATGCTTAACATCGAAAGACAGGGTTTGGTCCAGAAAGACCAACAAAACTTCAGTAGATCTCCCAACCCATTTTCAATATCATATGTCAGCCAGAAAATCCTGCTGCTTAAAGGAATCTTTCACTAAAAATCTTGCATTCTTTCACAAAATGATAAGTCAGTTGTGATCACTGGCGACAACATACAAAGTTTCACGCACGAAGATTCAGTTTCCGAAGAGAAACAAACTTACAAAAACACACTCTATGGACAGTCGAAGGTAAGTAGGTTGGGCGGAGCCAAAGGCGGGGCATGGAAAGAAGTATGCCTTTGGGCGGCTACGTATCAGGCGACGCATTGAAAGAATCGGGTTAAAGCGTGCGATTTCGGAGAGTAGAGACAAATCGATCGATAGAATAGGATGCAGTAGAAGTGTGAGATGTTAGTGGAATAAGTCAAAGGTTGAAAAAAGCTTCAAGTGACAGCACTCCGAGAAGTGTCCCCGCTCTTAGCAATTGTGACAGATGTTCGGTGGGGAACGCGTAGCAGTCCTTCCTGCTTTTCGATTGTTCACCAAAACAAATCCAATTTCCTCGATCTTTTCGTTCTTATCGTGAATGGTGGGTCTAGCCAGTGATTTATGGGTGAGATAGAATCATGCTTTTTTTCGATGTGGATTCCTTCAACATACACACAGCGCCACCCCATACCCCTAGTGCTCAAAGTTTTCCCCATTCCCAGCTACATCACCCTAGCCTTGCCATCCTCGTATATACTAATTACGCAACTCACGATGTTCTACTGATACCTGAACAATATTCAAGTCCATGCTTCTGCATTGTTCAAGAAGTATAAGGTCGAATGTCTCACAATCAAGCAATCGAATTACTCTTTGAATAGAAAATTGAAGGAAATATTTATCGAATCGCGTAAAAGTCATGCAATCTCAGAGGGCTTGGGTGAAATCTGAACATATAATGGTTAGGGCATCTTGAGTGTGCTAGCATTGGCATTTGCCAAAGTGGCATGGCAATCCGAAACACTTTTCGACGTGATCCCTATCGGTGCAGCTCCTCTGGTTGCAGAGACCATGGAGTGCATCAACATAGTACGGGAAACCAGCTCCCTTGAGTCCCTGAAGAACAGCCCATTGTGAAAGATAAGATTGCCAGAAACAGTCGAAGCTGTAACGAACGCAGCGAACGCGTGTGGTGCAACGCGGTCGATAAAACTTGTTACTTTTGGACAAGTGTCTTAGATTTACAAAAATGGGGTAGCATGTCGATGAGGATTTCAGGAGGAAACTTACCGCCAAACAATCACATGTCTTTGTTGACTGATTGCAGGCTCCTTTCAGACCACCGCAAGCGGCGTCACTTTCGCATCTGTAACATTGCTGAGTAACATGTTCGCTGAATTGGGTAACTGTAGAAACTTCTTAATGGACTATCAATGTGAAATGATATGGCAGAAATGCAAAACAGGGGAGAACCAAAGACTTACAACCAAAAATCGAGGCAAGCATTGCAATTGCAGGTGCCGACAAAAGCGCCAACACATCTACCGCCGTGGCAATCGCTGTCTCTGTAGCACAGTTCCAGTTCCTCGCATACATTCTGAATGAACGATGACATTCTCTGGATAATGTTCCTGCAGCTAGCAGTGGAGTATACGGTAACCCTAATTAGGGGCCACACGTGTAAAGAAATATTGCAGATAAAATAAAAAAGCAGGATAGGCAGCTGCGTAAACAATAATTCGGAATACAACGAATTTTGACTGTTTTTGTTTGTTTACTACTGTTTTTGCACGCAGTTAGTCTGCGAATGTTTCGCAAGGGTGCTGGGTTGTGAACAAAACTTTTTCCCCAGCAGGGCGAAGTTTTGTCCACAACCCAGCATTCTTGCGAAACATTCAAAATGCAGCATTCAGGAATTCAGAACATTAAGAATTAACTTACAGAAGCTTTTTTCTCTTCAAGTGTTCTGTACTCGTCAGCGAGTTGTGGCTTTTCAAGTGTGCTTTCCGCTGTCATGAGCTCTGAGCCTTTGTAATGTTCCTCGCCTGAAATAAGTATTTTATAATACTATTCACTAATCATTAGTGATACCAGAATTCCATAGGGAGAACCATGCACTAGAGCACGTCAGCTGGCCCTTGCAAGTCATTGTAAAAACCATGCCATGATCGAATATGTCTACAGTTATGAAGTTATGAATGGGTGTCAAGCTTGCGGCGCACACGAAAAGGACCGATCATGATTCCAGAGCCAAAGCTACGAAAGAGGAAACTTCAGCGGATGCTCCTTTTCCAAAATATTTTATTCAAACGTTCCTTATTACTATCCCGCTCCCTCAGGGCAACTCCCCACCCAACCAGGACACACACTTGAGAGCGTATACAACAAATGAGCCTGAACACCACTTAGCACACTGGACATGAAGTAAGAACTTAATAATCCACATCAACCTATTCGATGACAACGAAATATGTGCAAAGTATTTGCAAAGGAAGATAAAGGCTCCGTGACTTTTCAACACCTGAAGGCGTGGCGGCTGACGAGAGCATGTTCAGCAGTGTGGGGGTCCCCCTTGTTCCCCCTTTTGTTAGCCTGGAATTGGGCGATAGAGCATGGTGAGATGACAGAAATCATCTCTCTGCTCTCCAGCCAGCTCTCGTCTGCGCCCGCCGCGGACTCTCCTTCAGATGTGAAAAAAGGATCGGGGCTGAAGTCCGTTAATTTCTGTGGCATAATTATTCTCCCGCGTGCGAGTGTTCAGTGCAACAGAAAATGCCCTAGCTTTGCAACGTTTTACAGATACAGCAGATGTGCTACGGTTGCAAGCAGGCGGCCCTAATATGGTAAGTTTCAAACTAGAAATCTACCAATAGCGGTATTTAGAGTGAATAAGAGGCAGTAAAATGACCATAGCCGTGAAATCGTATAAACCTATGAATACATGTTCTCAAAAACTAAGAGTCTAACAACACTTGTGACAGCTCTCGTCAGCGCCACACATTGTTACCGAAAACAATCAAGACCGTTCGGAACGCTCATTATCTTGCGGTTCCAAAAAACTAAATTTCCGTACCTTCAAATCGAGAATTTCAAGTTTTCCTTTATGGACTAGGTGTTGTTTGCTGACTTGGGAATGTGGTGCTTTTGCTAGTACCATTTGTAAACTGATGCTTCGCGATGCCATGCGAAAGAATTGGCATTAAAGGCAAAGTTCGGGCTCAGACCCACCTAAGAAGCCCTTACCATGGCTAGAAGTGCTGGGCACGCAAGTGCAAAGTTAGCGCCACCTTTCTACATCGAAACGCGTCACCAGGACCTAGGCGCCATGAACTTACACTGAGCAAAATGCTCGTATTTCCTGTGCATTTCAGAATTTTCTTCCCTTTTTTCTCCACTGGCGGTCCACCTCTCATCCCTACTTTCACATTTGAGTAGAATCAACCCATCAGTGTAATCCTGATTCTTGCATTTAAGGTGGCCGAAGCTGCTTCTCAGACTATGAAATGGCGTAACCTGAGAAATCGCCTTGTGTTGATTCAGATTTCGGGGTCAACCGTCACGTTCAGCTCCAAAACTTACACGTGAAGGGGTTATTATTAAATAGGACTTGCTCCCGAAAATCGCAAAACTTAACATAAATCATTGACCATTTTTGTCTGTAAGTAGAGTGGCTGGCTTCAGTGTGTTCAGTGGAAAACCATAATGAAGGGCAATGATCATATACCTTCATTGTTATAACTTTAATTTGCATCAGAGAATCTGAAACAAGGTCAACCGACACGTTGGACCGATTTCAAAATTTTTACGAACCCCTCTTGGCGAGTCCCATACGCCACCCCCGCACTCATTAATTAGAGCGTGAAAGTGCACTGCCGGACACTGCACTTTCCAAGCCCTCTTGCAGCCCGTCTCTCTGGATACGACCCCCTCCCCTTTCGTTCGGCCGAATACGACCCCCTCGTTGTTCTTTGCGCAACGGGCGGTTGACCCTGGTGGTGGCCCCCGAACAAGAAGTCGCGAAAGGCAGCTTCACTCCGCTGAGATGAGGATGCTGAGATGGGCCTGCGGCTGGACGCGACTGGACAGGGTCAGAAACGAGGATGTCAGAGCGGTCATGCAGACTGCCCCTGTCCAGCTGAAGGTGAGGGAACAGCGTCTGCGATGGTATGGGCACGTGCTAAGGAGGCCACAGGACCATCCGATAAGAACAGCAATGGACTTCGAAGCGCAAGGCAAGCGACCGCGAGGTGCCCCAAAGAAAAGGTGGTGGGACCTAATCAAGAAGGACCTGAGTGAACAAGAACTTAAACGCCAATGTGAACATTTGCGTTCGTTCGGCGGCTGCGTCGCGGCTCTGCTAGGAGAGCGCGCTGTCCTTGACGACGCATGGACGCGACACGTTGCTCAATGCGTTTCGCGGTTCCGGTAGAAGTAAATGTTTCAGTTCATTGCTACATCAGGAGGTGTGAGCTCGAATTGATAAGCGTAAGCGAAAAAATAGAAGCACTTGTACATAGCGAAAGCCAAGATCAAATAAGCGCTTAAATAAACCAAAAACTTCGGCAAATGAACACCAGGAAGAATCAATTACCTCGGTGTAGTTAGAGGGTCAGTGAAGCTTACGATCAGTGTACTGAGAGGATTGGGAAAATAGAAAGACTCGGAGGAGAAGATGCGAAATGCTACAAA